GTTATTTTGACAGAGACTCTCGTTCGTTTTACTTGCTCCGACAATGTCACCGATAAAAGATTCCCAATTTTTTGGCCACTCACGCTTCAGCACCTTTACAGAGAAACATTAGTAATTAATGTATGTAATAATCGATATCTGAAGACAAATCACAGGTCATCTCTTTCAAATTGCTCACCTGCACGAGAATCATGTTGAGTTTATTTAAGTAAACTTTAGAAGCTTCCATTGTTTCAGGATCACTGCTTGTTTTTATGATAAGGCCTACGATGTACTTTTTTATACCCTCGCATTGATTTCTTGGTAATACTTTCCATCGTGTTTTTATAACTTGCTCCAATATTTGCAAACCATAATATTTTGTTTGCTGGTTCTGCAGCACAATAACGCATCAAATAAGTTATTTGCAAATACACATATGTATGTGATCGATAATAAAGAGGAAAATCAAAAATACAATTCTATATATAAAATAAGAAGATAATAAAGACAAGTGACTTTGCAACATTTACCTGTGAAAATTCTAGAATAGTGTCTACGCGTGTCCAAGCGTTTGGATGTTCCTTAAGTGTCGTTAGTACATCCTGAGCGATTTTCTGTTGTTCACCTATCCCAGTATACATACATCCTACTATATTGTCGAGTAATGTTATATCCAATTTCTGATTAAAGTCCAGTAATTTAGAGGCTTGTTCAGCCAAAGTTGCCATTATGTGTAGTAACTAAGTCCTTCCGTACGTTTTATTCTCTGCATGAAAGAAAATATAGAACATGTTATTTTAGAACAAGTTCAAGTGTTTATCAAATGTGCAATACATAAGATCTGTACAATCCAGTGCATTAATACCGTCTCTATCTACGCTTACATTTGGTAACAAAATTACCATGTAAGAAATAAAACCAGGAATCTGAGAAAGAATAAAAAAAATATGCCTTCTCACTTACGCAATTATCAATACAGTTTAACTGTTTCATTTAATGCAAAGTAGTGAAAAACAATGAACTATACATTATGTGATCCTTTTATAAATGTGAATACACTGATTAGCATTAATGCACTTAATTATATCAAAATTGGCACTAAACTGGACACGTTCATTTAATATTGTTTTCTGTTGTATATAATATGGAGCCTAAAACTTTTAATTGCAAGATAAAAGCGAAAGAGTCACGAAACGGGGAATATCTACACATAAGTGCTAATTTTGCTACTAGTTTTCTCTCAAATCACTATAGCTCTTAATTAGCAACTCAGCGTGCAAAAAATAGCGTTGAGTACGTGCGATAATATCGAATTCGTTAAAGCTATGACAAATTTGGGAATAGGAATTTGGAAACAATAATGTGAAGCAATAAGTGTAACAAAAGTGGCATGGCATGGCACGTCGTGTTTGTCGCGGATCCGTTCGCACATGAGGTCGGAAATCGAGAAAACTGTGACGGCGCACGAACACTGAACATCGGGGTGATTCAAGCCGAGTGAGAAAGGGCTCAGTTGCAACGTGCCGCGAAGAAAAGGTCACCGTACCGCGACTGCCCGACCTAACCTACATTTGACAATCGAAAGCAAGGTTATGTGAATAATCGCGAGCACAATTGTCGCACATTGACGTAAACAACGTATTCCCGACGGCGGTGTTTGTCGGAGAGCACGTGGGGCACGACGGCGCGTCTACGGGAGGTGCACGATGCCGTCTCGCTTTGGCATTTTGGCGTCCCCGCAGCGAGTTTGTCCGTTGCGTCGTTGAACGGCGAAGCAGGCAAAGTGCCGCGAGAACGACGCGCCAACTTACCGCATCCACTCTTATACACGTACTCTCCGCTCGGAAATGAAAAAAGCACACGTTCCGCACCGACGACCACGATGTGTCGATGCAAATCACAAGCATAAAAGGGTCAAACACACAACTGCCGATTCCCGCGCGCGACCAATTTCGTTCCTCGTTTCACACACACTCGTCATTCCACACTATGTCGCTCTCTCGCGCGCGCTCTCGCATCCTCCCTCTCTCGCTCGCTCGCTCTCTCTCTTTCTTTCTTCCTTCCTTTCTCTCTCTCTCTCTCTCCCTCCCTCACTCCCTACTCACTCACTCATCCTCTCTTACTCGTTCTCTCCTTTCTTGTTCTCTCTTACTCTATCTTCGGCACGTTCTCTCTCGTCTCTCCCTTTTCTGTCTTCGCTACTTTTGCGACGGTCACCAGCCAGGAGAGAAGACTGACTCCGCGAAGTCGTGCGAGATACCCACCGAGGCCGTTCTTCGTCGTAACCTCGTGCCCTTAACCTCATACGAGCCGCGTCTTTCTCTCGTCGAGGACCGATCGGAAACAAGCGCGAAAGGCGTTCGCACCTACTGCGTCTTCCCGAAAATCCAACCTCGAGATTTTCGAAAATAATAACAAGATGGCCGGAAAGTATACGCGACCATTGCGGATAAACTGTGATCACGATTGGCCCTCCGGACCAAACCCTGACCAATAGACGTCACGTTAAACGGCTCTTTCCGGTGACGTTGGGACTAGCGTCGCTGACGTCATGTGTAACACGCGCGCTTAGTTTTAATTTGAGAATTTGTTTCTCTATAAACAAGGCTAGATTATCATGCGATAAGTGCAAGTAATACAAGTTAATCGTGTCCATTGACATGTTCTTAGAGACAACGGAAGTTATCGATTTACTTCAACTTTTTCGTAACTATATCGTATATTCAATAAATTGTTATTAATAATATATTTAATAGCGTGTACAGATCTGATATAGGAAGAAAAATTTGTACTATTTGAAAGGAGAAAGATCTTTTATCTCACCATATTATCTCAAAACAAAAAGTTCGTCTACCTCTCCTTTGAGTTGTATTATTAGGAAATAAAAATGTAATTAATACTTGCCGTTGAGTCATACTACGACCTCTATTTTACAATGAAGACAATGGCGGCTCCTAGCGAATGTTTTGGAACTAAATAAAGTTCAATGGAGAATTTACACTGCACGTAACATTCGAAGTACGATAAATTGATATCCAATAAGAGAATTTGCTTTTTAGGATTACTAACAAACAACATTTTTGTTTCCAAAAAACAAATTCTTCTATTGGATGTCGATGTTACATATCGGATATTAAGGCCCATATTAGGGAGTTTTTGCAATTCCGTATTTTAGATAACGTTAATTCTGAATTCTCTTTTATCGCTAAAAACGTATCTGAAAATGGCTTATAACCTATCAGAAGGACTCAGAAGATCTCACTTTTAAAGGCACTTTTAACGATAAAAGAGAATTCAGAATACAGGTACAGTTTAACTATAAGTTGCGTAGCAACTGTCGGCATCTTTGATGTCACAAGTATGTGATCACATAACCTATTGCCACGTATTTGATTAGGAGTGCGCTAAGTTTTAAAATAGAATATATTTACATATAATAGAGTTAATTATAAAAATATTTATCTAAAAAATCGTTGGAATAAACATATCATTTAGAAATTAAAATTTTGAAATTGAAAAATAAGTAAAATTGATATTATTGAATAAGTAAATATTTTAAACGTTATTGCACATACAAATGGCTTTTATAAATACAATAAGCAAATTTGTGTAAAAAATTAGATATATTTTATTCATATTTTATTTATATATATATTATTTTAAACAAAAAACTAACTTTTCTTGTAAAAGCTGTAGTATTATGTTAAAAAACGGTACATATATATACCACCATCCAAGTTTATTTGAAGTTTCACTTCTTCACACACATATAAACAACAAACAAATTTATTATCTTTCACTATTTTTCACTATCTTGTCTTTTTTTATTAAAATTATTCATTTAAATATTCCACGTCACAGAAAGTTACACATGAATTACTGGCTGCATCGTTTGCACACGCGCATTGGAAATTTATTTTTAAAGCCAGCGGCACGAGAGCATCCCGATTGACCACGGTACGATTGGACACAACCAACCGATGAAAAGAATTATCTAGTGAATTGCTAAGTCGAATCATTACAATTATTACAATCTGTGTCCAATCGTATCGTGGTCAATCGGGTCCCACCCGTCTACAATGGGGGAGCGGTGCACTTGGACACGGTGCATTTAGACACAGCCAATCACAGCACCGTGTGATTAGAGACATTTGTAGGGTCCCTTGGAACAGCGACTTGTGATTGGACTGTGTCCAATTGCCCCGTGTCCAACTGATATACACCCCTACAATGGTAGTAGTAGTAGTAGTAAGAATAAGCAGTAAGTAAATAGACCAATCACAATCGATTATTTTTTAAACGTGAGAATGGAATTGGTCAATTTGCTTACTGCTTATTGGCTCCTGCATACAAGACGCGGTAATGTTTGCCACGTGACGAAAGTTCGCGCGACAGCCAATCAATATGCTGCTTTCCGTAATAATCTTCTAGCTCTTACGGAAACACAACATACTGATTGGCTGTCGCGCGGACTCCCGCCACGCGGCAAGCATTATCGCGTCCTGTGTGCAAGAGCCATATTTCTTACTACTACTCCTACTGCCATTGTAGACGATGCATAATGCATCGTAATAATTACGTCCGATTGGACGTGGAGTGCAATGATTGGTTACATCTAGTTGAATTTAGTTATTCGCTAGATAACGCAGAGCACCGGTTGGTGGTGTGCAATCGGAACACTCCCATTGAAACGCAGTCATGGGTGCGTTCTTAAGTCCTGATCTACAATAGGTGTAATAAGCTTTAAGCTTTAAGCCGTAAGAAATTAACCAATCACAATTGATTATTTCTCTATAATTCGACTATGATTAGTCAATTTCTTAAAGTTAACCAAAGTTGGTAGAAACGGGAATTAAGGTCGTTCTACATTAGTTGCAAGTCGATTGCAACTTTTGTTGCGACAGAAAATCAATAGCCAATCAGAAGCGTCAATAGCACTATGATGCTTCTAATTGGCTGTCGCAATAAGAATTGCGTCTGCTTGCGATCGGGTTGCAACTAATGTAGAACGACCTTTAGATTCACCTGGAGCATTGAGAAAGAAAGAGATAGAAAGAGATCAAGTGCACTGACAGATTGCAATAAGTAGTAAATAAGTGACAGAAAATTAAGTCACTCTCGGAAAGGGGATATTCTCAAATGTAATCAATTAAGCGCGATGTCTTGTCAAATTAAAGGAATAGCAAACATACCGGACATAAGCAAGATTAAAAAATTACTTTATGGTGATGCTATTAGCAAGTGTAAGTTTTGTTCACATAAAATAAGTATGATTTACATTAATGTATTTTAACACAGCTGGAATTTGCGTTTCAGTCGACTATGTACCGAGCAATGAATTACCTTTACAAGATTGTCATGTGTCCTTGTCATCGGTTGGAGATGTGCTTGTCATGGCATGGAATACAAAAATGATAATATTTGGCTGTAAGTATCACCTCTCAATCATTTTGATTTTTGCTATGTATACATATAAATATTTTCTTCTCGATAAGTAACATACTTTATACTATATTTATACTTTCTTGTATATTTCAAGTAAATGAAAAATTTCAAAATCACAGAATTATTTTACATTAGCAAGATATTCAATATACTTTAATCTCTGTTCATAGCAAGATGGGATTCACAAGAATTAGATGAAGTGAAAAATAAGTTTCATGTAACATGGCATGGGGAAGTAGTAAAAGAACAAAAGTAAGTAACATTTTCAAGGCACGCTGTAATAATACATTTATGATTATAATCAAGTTATTCCAGTGAATGGATCACATCAGTGGTCTGCTTACCTTTAATATCTTTGGGAAAAGCTAGTGGTCCAGACTGGACATGTATAGCTGTTGGATACAATACAGGTTTTATTAGATTCTATACTGAAGTAAGCATATGTATATACAGTCATTATTTTTATTGTTACAATATTAATACACTATATTGACTTATCTTTCATATTTGTCCTCATTAGACAGGTGCAATGCTTCTGGGAGAACAGATACACAATGAGTCAATTTTAGGAATAAAATGTCAATCGTTCTGTTCAGTGAAACATGGAGATGCTAACTATAATGAGGAGATTTATATTTTGTACAACAGCGGTGTTTGCATATTACAAGGATTTCCTTTGTTCTCAACTTTACGTGCCTGCAGAAACCATTTAGCTAGAAGTATGCTATCCTTTATTGTATTGCCACATCCAAGATTAATGTGTCTGTAGAAATCAATTAGTTAGAGGTGTGCTATCCTTCACCACACTGTCTCATTCAAGCTTCTAATCTTATCATTTGCAGTTCAAGCAATGTGCGACGATTTGCCGCCGGTTACGAATCTATCGTATAAGAAATGGGCATTTAAAAACCAAGACATTTCAAACGATTCAGAAGTAATTGGCACCACGTCGATAAACAGTTTCGATCACTTAATGACTGCTTCGATTTGTGGCGGGTACAACGCGACGTACAGATCCAGCGCGCCACAACACAATCTAGTACTCGCCACAGGAAAACGGCCATTCGTAGGATTCCACTATACGCTCGAAGGGGGCAACGCACCCGTATTATCGGACGTCGCCATTGCGATGGCTAGTAAATTAGCCAGCGCTATCGGCACGGCGGTACCGTAAGTATTTATCAGAGTTGTAATTGCCCCCAAAAAATGATTATATATCAAATTATTTAAAATTATATATAATTATGTATAAATTATATATGAGTTTTGTTATACTTTACTGTTATAGTTTACTTACATGGCTATATATATATAATCATACTTACAGAGTTGGAAACGTCATTTCAAAGAAAGTAATGCATTACTAATTTTAAAAAGTAACTCATTACCATTACTAAGAAAGTAACGGTTCGTTACTTTTTTAAAATATTAAAATAAAATACGTAATTTATTTAAAAATAAAATTATTGTTTTTAAGCGTAAATTATTATTTTTAATACAGCCAATTTATCTAAAAAGAACAAATTATTCAAAACTGCAATAATCTTCACTCGAACTAATATTTCTTTAAATATTTTGCCACTAATATTTCTTTATAAGCTTGATTCTATCTTCTTATTTTTTATTATTCTTTACACAAAAATTATTGTTGGTATAGAGCCAAATTTTACAATTTTGGACTCTTAAAAATTTTTAATAAATTTAATAAACGATGTACTTAGTGTGATATACATATACACACACACTTGTTTCATGGTCTCTTATAATACTTTTAATTAATTATCGCGTTTAATTAATGATTAATATGAGCCAATCTGAGATTATTTAATTGAGAATTGACATTAACAAATTCAATTAAAGACCGTTTAACGATTGTTCGCTTAACAATTGTTTTCAAAAAATTTGATTAAATATTATTCAATTGAAAGACGATTAATGTGAACGAAGGAAATTAAAGATCGTTCGATTAATCCTGGTGCCATTGCTGTGGAACTCTGTATTGATGACGTCAGAAGCGAGAAAACGTATAGCAAAATTTCCTACATGCCATTTTTGAATAAGAAGATATTTGTATGAAAGGGACATTTTAGATCGCTTAAGCATGCTTATTAAGTATTCCGGAAACTATCTTTTTCCTTTGGCAGTTAATAAATATCCTTAAAATTAATATGACATGCAACTTTTCTTTTTGACTCAACTTTCTTCATGATTTTGCCACGTTTAAAGCTATTTATTAACTGTTAAGAGAAAAATATGGTTTTCGGAGCATATTATATTTGTATGCTCAAGCGATCTGAAGTATTCTCTCATTCAAATATCTTTTTATTTAAAAAATAGCACATAAGAATTTTTGTCATGCGTTTTTTGCTTCTGATTGAACTTAACAAATTTAAGTAAAAATCTTTTAATCAACGACTGAATAATCTTTGATTCCTTTCGTTCGTATCAATCGTCAGTTGAATGATCTTTAATTGAATTCGTTGCAATGAATCGTCAATTAAACATTCTTCGATTGATTTACTTCGAATTAATCGTCAGTTAGTTGAATTGAGACATGTTTATTCGAATCAATTATTAAATTAAGGAAAAATTTAATTGATATTTTTACGACTCTAACAAGTTTCAGTATAGTATAGCTTCCAGATGAGTGATCGAATTGTTGAATTTCTTGCCAGATGGTTTCGCGGCGGCTCGAAGAATGCAGCACCTGAAGCACCAAAGAGTAACATTCATGAGTCCATAGAAGCGATGACTTGTCGGTTTGGCTTGAGTGACATCATGAGAGAGGGTGACTGCATTACTTGCAGCCCGAACAAAATGTTATCGGTGATATCGGATGCTATGGGCAGAGTGATACTTATCAACAACAAGAAGGGCATAGCTGTGAGAATGTGGAAAGGGTATCGCGACGCTCAGTGCGGCTGGATCGAAGTTAACGAGGAAAGAGATCGCGGAATTCACAAGAATATCAATAGATTCGCGCAGAAAACTTTATTACGCACCACCATGTTCCTCGTCATTTACGCTCCGAAGAAAGGCGTGATAGACATTTGGAGTATACAACAGGGCCCGAAGATCACTACTTTTACCGCTAGTAAAAACGGACGGTATATAATGATTTTACTTGCTGTTCAGTTTCCTTTTTTTTTTGTCTGTTTATTTCATTTCCTATTTCGTTTTTCTTTTGATCTGTTAATGCATAGAGTCAATAATGTGACATGTTTTCACAGATTATTGTACATAAATTATGGTTTCCTGGGCATGAATGATAACGCCACTGTGTCCAAAAATAAAGCACAATATTCATGTGTGTTTATGGATCCATTGGGTGGATTAAAAGAAATTTCTGTTCCATTTCACTTTGCGCTCAATAGTAAGAATGGGAAACGAGCGCGCGATATTCATTTGCTCAGAAAACTGAGAACATTCTTGAGAGAAGAGGAATTCGATGAGGAGAAGTTAGTTTCCGAGGTGACCAACACCTGTTTGGAGTTGAAGACAAGTGAAATTAGGATACAGACAATAGAAGTTTTAATGAACAGCAAACACATTTTGCCAAATGCTTTGCTCGCTGCGACAAACTGTTTTGCAACAAAGTTACGTACGTATTATGCGTTTTGTACTGCATAACGTATATATTGCGACGTATACAATTATATGAGCAAATATGTCTGTTACAGAGGAGGAGGAAGAAGAAGAAGAAAAACTGGAACTTACTGCCAAGATGCTCCGTCAGTTAACAACGCAATTACAGCGAATGATTACGTTTTATAAATATGTTAAGTCTCAACTCGATACCGCACCCGAATATGACATTGTGACTGCCGGTGGTGCACTGAACGCCAAAAATTTGTCCTCGACATTGTTAACTTCAGAACGGGAAGTACACCGTATCATTAAACTGGCCAAGACGTTGAATAGCTTTGAGGATGCAAACATTTCAGCAGAAGCCAAGGTCAAATTTAGAGAGGACGAAAAGGCATTTTTCGACTTTCTGTCGTGTTTTGAATTCGGCACTTCAAAATTAATTGGTCTACGGAAGGATTTAAAGGAGGAAAAGATACACGAGATCGGTACGCACACTTTGTAATACTTCAAAGCATGAAGTAATTTCACTAAGCGTGTTGTATAATTTTTAGCTCGTCTAATACATCAAGGATGGATGTATTCCAACGATGTGAAGGAAAAATGGCAACAAGCTGCTAGAGACAGTAACATTCAGTCGTTCATTTTTATGCAGTTGGCATTGATTTATTGGACGCGTAAAAAGGAAGTCATGATTTCCGAAGTAGAGCTGAAACGTTTCACACAACTTCTACATGTTATTTGCCTGTTAACCGGTGAGTTCCAGCCGTGGCTTTGAGTAGATTTTGATCATCCCTTGTGATGTGTTCGTATGGCATTTGATTAACTTGAATTCAACAGATGTGGAAGAGATATGTGTCGAATACAACGAGACCTCTCTGTGGTGGAAGAATGTGCGTACAATCCTCACAGAGTCTACGAAACCTTTTAATGCACTCACCGCTGCATTGGTATGCAGAGCAATCGCTGTGATTATGGAGAGGTATAAAGAGAGATTGCAAAATCAAAAGTCCCTGGGAGCTGACGAAGGAGAGGATATTAAGAATGGCAATAATATGACCAAAATGGATGAAATGGAGAGTAAAGCGAATGATATTACACCAGACGACGAGACGTACAGCTCAAATAGCGAATGGGAAAACGTTAGTAAGGATACTTGTCAATTCACACTGTTAATCGGAAATCTTGAAGATATTACAGTTCTGAATGCTGTTGTTAGGTATGTGTAACGATATAAGTAATTAAATTATATAGATGTATCAAGATTTTCTGCAGTGCAGTAATAAATATTGCCCCAATTTCAGTCAGCAGTTCATATCAGATCAAACAACGCAATTCTTCGCTTTACCCTTTACAAAATGTGACGTTTCACTGTCATTGATTCTTTCCAAAGGCAAAGGTACATATACATTTTACTTTTTGTTAAGTGATTGCATTGGAAATCTAAGAAAATTCACGTGGTTTTGACTTGGATATTTATATTTACGAGATTTATTATATGCCGTGTAATATGATGGTTAGCAATACATAGTTTATGAGTTGTATTAGAAATATTTCTGCAGAGTTCGGTTAATTATAACTCATGCGTTATAAGTATCTTAAATTTTATTAACGCTACACTTTCGTACGTGGAAACTACACGAATTTTCTTGGTAATATTCCATAGTATTCTACTTATAATTCGACTTATTCTACTTACAAATACAATGGTAAGTAAACGCAGATATTATCATTGAAATATCTTTCTGGATTGCTCATGAATCTCTAAGTGTGTATTGCAGTCACAGGCATAAATCACTGATTACTTCGTCCAGCCGAATGCAAACTATATTGTTTGTCTCTTTGAATTAGGCTCCGTGTCTGAGCTGGTCGCGAAGTGGCTCAGTACAACGGGTATCGATCCGATACGGTTGATTGACACAACTGATGTGGAATTCGATCAGCTGCAATTATCGGTGGACTCGTTGCAATTGAATGACGCGCTGGATGAAGCGTCTGCCGTCGACGTACCTCAACAAGAACAGACGAAGCTTCTTTCGCTATCAGTAGAGATCGGAGATGAGGCGAAGGTTGATACGACCGTGGAAGCGCGCATCTTAGGCAAGAGATACATCACTTACACATATCTTTCTCTTTCATAATATATTATTATTATATATTTTTATATAGAGTAAGTCAGTAAAATTATTGTGAGAAACAAAATTGTGATCTTTAAATCTTCGAAGTTACTCTACTTCGAAAAAAAAGCATCTTATGGTGATAACTTTTTTTCTAAGTACAATAATTATGAACATCTCTCTCTGAAGATCACCTTTTCGCTTCGAAAATATTCTAGATAATAAACAATAGTTATTGACTTGCCGTTGTGTATATATCTCTCATAATATATTATTATATATTATGTATACAATCTAAATTCTTTTTTTTCAGACAAAATGGTTCTGCTCAAGCGTCACTTCCCATACAGCTTAACGAGTAGCGTCTTGTTGGCCAATCTATGCTGGGAGTTCGTGATGTCGTGGAACAAAGATGTATCTCAGTTAGAATCTCTCGCGGCTGCCTTGGCTGTTTTGCGACAGATACCCATGAAGCACATGCGACATGGTAGACGGCGCACGCGCGCGTTCACATTGTTTTCCATGCGGAATATTTTCAGACGGATATTCTCGTATCTACGTGTAACACTCGCGTTTATTCGACAGGCGTTTGCTGTCTGCTATGGACACTGCACATAAAGAAACGCATGGAGGCAGTGGCGAAATTGATGAACAAACTCGGAAAATTACCTAAGGAAAGATTGTGTATGCAGGATATCGGTCTATCGGATATTCAAGTGACAACATTCCTACAGCATTGCATCACTTTCCTGGATATATTCCTTGATGTTAGTAGGAAACTAACATATAAATAGATAATATATAAATAACATAGGGAACAAAAAATTGCACGATGAGTGCGACACGCAACTAGACTGTGTCACTTATAAATATCCCTTATATAAATGATTTTACGCAGGCTGAAATACTTGAGCGAGGAGATAGCACAGCGATCAAGTCGGAAGAATTGTGGGAGGGACATCCCGGCGGACCGCAACCGTTCGCCACATTGGCCATCTCTCAAACACCAGCCTGGTACGAGTTGGTTTTATTACACGTTCAAGTGGCTAACGTCTTATACATGATGGCGTGTCTTAATGTGAAGATGCTGAGACCGTTGAATAACTTATTCGAGTCCGTGGTAAGTGGCCGGGTTGATTAACGGGTTTTGATGGTAAGGACTCGGATGATAATACGAAATGCTTGAAAATTTCTCGAGGCAAGGATTCATTGACCATCCCTAGTTATGTGTTCACATACAAACGTTCGCCCATTGTTTGCAGGTACAGCCCTATTTCTTTCAAGACATCACAGACAAAGCGATGCTCACGTGGTATCGGGACGACAAGAGGGACAATACGCGCACGGAGTTCTTATGTAAAGCGATCACAGCGTCGATGGAGTTCATTCATCGAGAGACCAGCGACGGTACGACGGTTAGCTCCACTCAGGCTATCTCATGGATGAGCAAGTGTCAGACACTGGCGTCCATCTGGAAGATTAACAACGACGAGTTGAGAATACATCAGGTCTGTCAGTTGTACATAAACGGCTTCGATCGTTTGGCGGAAGAGGTAGGTGTAACCACGGAAATCGTTTATTGTCTGTATGTGCATACGAATGCACGTACAGAATTGTAACGATATTTATGCACCGAGAGATGCGTTTATGTATTTATTCACAATATACATGTACACATACAACTAGATAATGACGACGGTGGGCGATGTCGAGCGCCTGAGTGCGAGTCTATTGCCTATCGCTGGAAGAAGAATGATGGCGTATCTGTCGAGAACGCCTAATCTTCTGGAGGAGGTCTCACGGATAAGCCCAGCGCTCACGAGATACCTAGAAAGTCTGGTGAGTCTCGACGCCAATCTCGTCACATTCGCCGAGTATCTTTCGCCTCTCTGATCGTCGAATTTCTTCCAGAATATGTCTGAGATAATCTTCACCAATTGCTCGAACGGCGACACCGTGGAACTGATTCGCCGAGTGTCCGTTCATTTGCCTAAAACTCACTGTGATTACCATCTTGCGGAATTGATGTTGGACGCGACGTTTATTTACCAGGACAATCGTTAGATCCTGACTCTTCTACGCGCTATACGTCCTATGACAGCGTGAAACTACCGCGCACGAGGATTTCACGAAGCAACGTGTATATAGTGATACAACGAAGTGAGAAAAAAATTGCCTGAGTAAAATTCCGTGACTCTGAGATAACGCGTCTCCCAATAAGGAGAAACACCGTATGCACTGAGAAAAAAATACTTGAAACTTTATTCGTGGGCTAAAAGTTTATCTCACAAAAATAAACTTTATATCTCGCAAATAAATTTTCAAGTATTTTTTTCTCAATGTGCCGTTCTTGTGCATAGTAATAAGAAAATTAGTTAGAATGAAGTTCCAAAGTCGCGAATGACTTAATTACGCTACGAGCGATGATCCTGACACAGCATTTGTCGTTTCCTAGTCGCGCCTCGGCTCGAAGGAACCGAATGTACATGTGTATATACGTAATATTGTGCGTTGGTGCTGCTATATCACAGGACAATGCAATCGTTCTCGTTTTAGGGCTCAAGACGCAATTATCCAACGTTTTCGTGAGAATTGCCACGTGTTTCTCGATTTTCCAAGAATATGGTAGCGTTGAGTTTGCGAACCAGACGAAAGAGATATTCCAATTATTATTGTATATCTGTAATCAAATGTAACATTTCGTTTGGGCGCGCGTTATTGCGCGAAAGAATGGCCATCTTTAACTTAAATGTAATTTATTAAAAGTATGTTATTAAATATTATATGCCCTCGTGTTAACCAAATCACATGTGAAAACTGACGATGCGTTAAAGCAAAACAAAATGTACAGAGAGAGAGAAGAGAAAAGGGGGAGGGAGGGAGGGAGGGAGGGAGGGAGGGAGGGAGAGAGGGAGAGAGGGAGAGAGAGAGAGAGAGAGAGAGAGACACATCTAGACGAAATCGTGGTAATTGCCGCACGTATTACCGTTATCGAGATTTTGAAGACACATTCTGCCAGCAAGGAGAATTTCTGCGCGCATTAGAGCTACGCTAATACAGTAAATGTACATTTAACTATACGCTTTCAGAAGCGGATCGCGAAGCCTTGATACTGCTGCTTTGTGACGTTCTCCCAATTCGTAAATTCGCAGTGATGTATCTCGCTACCCGGACTTCCCACCGAAGTTAACCACTGTGACCTGGAAATGAGACATTCATCGTGTGTTACATCTTAAAGCGACCATAAGTCGCGGTATAAAGCAGAATTGGACTAAAATACGCTTTTTTTCAGAGCACTACATTGGTCGTTTAAAAGATCGCGATGTCGTGAACGCCTATTTCCGCGTGAAACGTGTCGTTGATCTTGTTCTATCGTCGAGGGATAGATGGTCGATCGATTACAAGGGACATCGCTTCGTGATATCTTCGCGTAAAAATATCTGAAACGCGGTCCGATTAGCCGCTAATTATAATTTCGGAGCGTGCGAAGCACACCGGCGCGGGCGAGTGCATTCATACACGGGACGCGCACACGTAAACGGTGTTGTTTGGTAATGCGACGAGTAACGATGTCAACGTGCAATTGGCAACACGACAGAAGCTCGTGGTATGACCTTCTTAAACTTGAAATCCGTTCAGTCTTTCTCATTTGACCGATTGCGCGCCTGCTTGTGTCAGAGATAAAGATATTTCTTGAACGATTCTCAAAAATAACGCGCGATCCTAACAGGATCCTCTTCAGTACTCCTCGATATTTCTCGTCGACACTTTCTCGGATAACGCAGAAATATTCTATGAAAGTTCCATGAATATTTCTTATGAATATTTATGTATTCTATAAATGCACGAAAAATACTGTTATTTGTTCATAGCATGCATTCATAATATATCCGGATAACATCGATGCAAATGTTCTATGAATGTGCATAGAATATTTATAAAATTCAAATGCATTAATCGTGGATTTTGGCTTTATAATTATAGAGGAATAATTGAAGTATTTTATTTCATTTGATACGTATCATTATTAAGCTATAATAAATGCATAATACTATCTGGAACATTAGACAAATTTTACAGTTACACGAATGCATTGCATACGTACAGTGAATAAATCTTACAAGTGTTCTAAGAACATTCTTTTCTATTATAAATGTAAAAATCTCTGCCTCTACAGTATTGTACATATTATTATTATTAATAGAATATCCGATTCGAATGTTTTGGAATTAAAAAAACACTTGCACTCCATAAGAATATTCATAAATACATGAAAGTGACTTTGTTTGTGCGCAAGGAAAGATAATTTTATTTTTACAAAATGACAGATTTTATAAGATCACGAATTTTCGATGAGAATCTGTCAGTTTTTTTGTATGCTTCTCAGAAAGGTTTTGAAATTTGTATACAAACGGAAAGAACTCGATATTACAAAGAATTTACCACAAGTTAGAAGTCAATTGGATCAACAGATTTTCTAAATATCAACTTTAAAGAGATGGTTCCAAAATACACGTTTAAAAGTCAATCTTAGTGACTATCCTACGCACTTCGACAATGTTTCACAAATTCTCCTCTAGCTTTGCCAGTTTCCAACTGATCTTCAAACAATTTTCCAAAACTATATAATCTTTCAGAAAGTGTGATTTGAAAAAATCGATCTTTTTAATTTCTACCACGGCGTTCTCCCTTAAACTCAACGCCGACGACTGAGCTCGTCCCGACGCGGCCTCAGCGATTGTCAACGAAGAAAAAACAGGTGATACGCCGCCACTGCGTCATTACTTCATTAAAGTCAGTTTTAGACGTTAGCCGAGGCCGGGCACGCGTGACCCCGAGGAACCGAGAAGGAACCGGGGAGGAACGGACGCCGTTTATCGCATGTATAAACTAATGACTTTAATGCCTCGCTATTTGGAATCCGCAACGCCACGTGTCAAGAAACGCGCACGACAATCGGATTGATGAACGCTTGCGAAGGAAGAAGCCACGCTTTCGTCAGGGCTGGGGAAGTTGCTTTTTCAAAGTAACTCGTTACTCGTTGAGTACAAATAGTTCGTTATCGTTATCATTATTTGAGGAGTAACGAGTGATTGCAATTTCCGTTAATTTCTTCATTTAGTATACAGAGAAAAACATCATTCTGCTTAAAAAGAAATTACTTTGCTTATCTTATTTTGGGATCTTCTAGAAATAGAAAATGACAATTATTTGTCTACCAGGTTAAAATTATGAAAGGAGAAAGTTATGAAAATCCAGATTTATTATTGATTGTTGAGATAGTCGTATATGAAGAGTTTCTCAAGCTTTGTACTCTTGATATGTCTAAAATAAAATCAGTAGAGAATTGAATTTTTTCGTTCTCATAATATATATGTATTGCAAAGATATACAGATAATATAGTTATTTCCTGGGCCTGCTTTTGATTAATCGTTACGGGATCTCGCTGATCTCGATTTGGCATGGCGCTTCTTTTATGAGAAGGTTGGTTGCGATGAGTTCAGTGGATTTTCCCGTTTCACCGATACAGTTAATATTTGTCACGCGTAATACACGCGTAAACAGTTAGCTAGCGATTGACGAGCTTTATTATTAGACTACGGTAACGCATGTATGCTTAACCACGTACACGTTGCTTAACCGCGATTACCTAATGAAACTTTTAGCGCTTTTGGCGATTACTAGTGAAGTTTCCTCTCCGAGACCGATCAAGTCGAGCTGGTTGTGCCAATTAAATCCACGAGTCATACAAATATATTATATATCCGTATCTTGGAGGAAAAAAGCCAACGTCCAACTCTGTCATTCTCACTTATAGAGATCTTCATTAATTGTTTGCAAAATTTATAGAGATATAGATTTGAACATTCCTCGCGAGCTTGGTCGTGTAAATTTATATAAATTTCGTCCTTTATTCGCGAGTATTAATTGCTTATAGTTAACATAACGTACGCTATCCTTTGAAATGAAACCTGAAGAGGACGTTGACTCTTTTCTCCTAAAGGGTGTGTCTATCACTCTGGACTATTTCCAATCAATCTCGCGGTAAGATTCATCGACAAGTCTCGACGACTCAGTAAGACTCACATCTGATGGACAAGCGCCCGAGGTCCTTGCATTTTTCCGAGGATCGTGCCGGTTTTACTGTTTTTCACCCAACCGCAAATTCCCAGTTGCAGACATATATCTCTCACGTATTTTGGAAAGTACACACCTGCAAGTTCGTGAACGATTTTAAAAGCTTTGACGTCTCAGACTCCTGACTCCTCGCCGCGGCCATCTTAATTTATAACACCAGAAGAAGAAAATATACGTTCAAAATTTTTTTACAAAATACGTTAAAATAAAATGTGTTTGTAACATGATATTCGCAATCAATCAAGACCCGTAAAATAGTTCAAACACTTTTCTTTTACTTTAACAGTAAATAGTCAGTAAATAGCCGTAAAATTAATGTGCAATTATAAAAGAAGGTAGGTTTAAAGAGAGTTATTTATTGATTGTTTGAACAAAGGGAAAGTGTCCGGACTATTTTACGAGTCTGCTTGATCGCTCACAAGTATCATTTTATGGACACATCTTTCAACGTATTTTGCAAGAATTTTTAGCGTGTATTTTCTGCCTCCTGACATCATCGATCAAGAGTTCCGCGGCGAAGAGCCAGGAGCCTCAAGCTCAGGCTGTCGACAGAGCCTGCTGACATAATTTGATAGGAGTGGATTAGCGGCAGAGACCGAGCAGGATCTGCAGTGCGTTCCATTTAAGTAAATTCGAATGGTCACGGAACGACGGATCCTGCTCGGTTTCTGTCGTCAATCTGTCACCATATTCTGCTAGCAGATTCTGTTGTATTTCTGTAAGCAAGTTGCTGACAAAATCTACAGCAAACACTGCGCGCAATCTGTTTCTGCGAGATTGACTGCCTGGCAACTCAGATTTAAGTTTAGACTCTGTCTAAACACATCAGGTGTCTAAACACAGTTAGAACAGAGCTTGAACTTGAATCGAAGTTTCAATTGAGCCACTATGGAAAAATCGGTCCTTCTTATAGTTATTATTTAATAATACAGACTACACTCCTCGCACTTGCCGATGTAACGAGACCTGAAGATCGTGTTGCAGGAGACTGTCTGGAACTGAGAAAATTCAAGACGCACGAAGTTGCACGAAAGAGGAAGGCGCGAAGACGAGCCCAGACGAGAAGGAAAGAAGCCAGATAGCCAAGTGTAATTGAGCATTTTGAATAAACTAATGCACAGCAGGTATTGCTAAATGTTTGCTGCATATTTGTTAACATGCAATAAACGCGTTACTGAATGCAACAACATGATTGCTTATACTTAGATGACGAAATTTCAAGAGCAAATCGCTCAACGACAGCAGCAACTTTGTCAGCATCATGACGCAAACTTTTTAACGGATTACAAATCTGCATCAACGTATTGTCATTAATTTGACGTTATTTGAATTAGAATTCCCGTGAGTTCAATGCAACACACATAATGCTGCCTCACCTTGTTCCTACTTTGTTGAAATCAGTTCCTGTTTGTTGTCGATAACACGACAGCAAACTCACAGACAGTTGGCTATCTGGGAATCGTCTACGCCGAGCGTATCTGACAACAAATGCTCGACGATACTCACCTTGCACTTTCCCGAACACCTCGAACTCGACCGACACCAGGGGTTCCCAGCAGAGGGGATCATCCGCCGCCATCCCGCTCGAGCTCCAAGGAATTCCGCGTTCGCCTGACGAGACGCCCGACAATCAGCCGTGCTTCGGAAGAGAGCGCGTTTTCAGATGACGAAGAGGCTGCACGTCAGACGGGGAATCCGACCGCGGTGTCACGGCGTGCAACACTCGATCGGCGCCGCCGTCGACGTCGACGTGCTCGTCGCTTTCACTCTGCAACGACGCTTCACCTTTCGTCGTAGCTCACCTCGCTGACTGATTCTCGTTGCACGACGGCGTCGTCGCGCCTCCCCAAATAGATCGCCCCACCACGTTGACATTGATTTGATCGTGATCGATCGAGAGCCGATCAACGCGACCGCGCCTGTCGACGCTCTGGCAGATCGAGGAGAGTCCTCTCTCGAGGACCTCCGGTTAAACTATTATTCGTACATGGCAGGGTTGCGAGTAATTAATTACTTTTTAATTAATTGTCGGGTTTAATTGACAATTAATTTGAACCAATTCAATTGAAGAACGCTTAATTAACAATTGATTTCGAGAAATTCTATCGAAAACTGTTCGATTGACGATCAGTTTCGATGAATTCAATTAAGGACCGTTCTATTGACGATTGATATGAGCGAAGGGAATTCAAGATGGTTCAGTTAATAATTGAACTTAGCAAATTTAATTAAATGATGTTTAATTGACGATCGATATGAGCAAATTCAATCGACTCAATCGAAGATTGCTAGGTAACAACTCATATGATCAATTCGTCTCGAGATCAATTGTCAATTAAACATTCTTTTCGTTGGTTCTTTCGATTGGTTTCGTTCAAATTAATTGTCAATTAATTGGATTGAAATATGTTTGTCCAGATTAATTATTAAATTGAACAAATTTGATATTTTTACAACTTTGCTCCGGTTATATCGCAGCAAGCTGAAGGCATTTTCCGGCTTATTCGCGTGTTTGCTGCTTCCAGAGTTGTGACAATATCAATTAAATTTTTCTGAATTTAATAATTGATTTGAACAAATATGTTTCCATTCAGCTAATTAACGATTGATTCAAGCAAAATCTGCCGAGGAATGTTCAATTGACGATCGATTTCAACGAATTCAATTGAAGACCGTTCAATTAACGATTGATTTGAGCGAAGGGAATGAAAGATCCTTCAGTTGACAATTTAATTTAGCAAATTTGATGAGCAGCAGTTTAATTGTCTTGAATTGAATTCGTCGAAATCAATCGTCAGTTAAACAGTCTCCAATTGAATTGGCTCATAGTAATCGTCAATTAGACACAATAATTAATTGAGAAAGTAATTAATTAGTCGTAACTCTGATCCGGAGTAACTTTGCGTATATTTTTAGTATTGGCGTCAAGGTGATGAAGCGGCATAGAGAATGGCTGAGCGTATCAGATAGCCAAACATGTGGGAAGAGATTTTGTACAATGTCTGCTATAAATTCTCGTCGGTAGCTCGTCAACAGAACTGTAACATGATTTGTTGACAGAGCGTGATGGAAAATTGACGGAAACTGAGAAGCATCTGCTGTTCTGCAACCATTTCAATGCATTCAAGAGGAGTAGATTTTGCTCGATTTCTACTGTCAAGTAGTGTGAGCAGCCTTTGTTGACGGAACAGGAGCATTAATATCGACACAGATAGGCTGAATTAACTCTATAGGCCTGTTACGGTGTTTGGTCGAATCTGTTGCCAATTTGCCGGCGAACTGCTAGCATTTTGGATAGAGAATACCTCTATGTCGACGCCACGGAATGATCAGTTAATATAATCAATAACATATACGGCAATAACGAAACACAAATAAATTAGGAAGAACAAAGAAATCGTCGACGACTGACTATTCCGCCTGCGATACGGAAAACGATTCCTCCTCCTCCTCATCCTCCTCCCTGTCCCTCGCCGTGCGCGAGGGAGTTCGCCGTGGAAACATTAAATGTAGGCCAGGGGAGCAAGCATTTATCGTCGAACTAAGCACTTCCCATCGTCGTGCCCGCCGCCTATTGTCCCGTCATTACCTCGAATAATTAGTTATTAGTACTCCAGCGACACAGTAATTGCCGCACAAGAGCAAAGACTACGAGGTGTACAGGATACGGGGAGAAGGTTACATTCTACTTGTAACGGTCCTGTTCAATTTATCGCTATCGTCATCCAAGGTCTCGTTCGATGCTAATCTCGATAACGAGTCCGTGGACGCATGGTGGATGATCCTCGTGCAAAAGCGCACCGCTGAGCAGAGTCGGGCGAATCTTTTTCTCGCGAGTAACCGAAGACGATCGAACATAACTTGAAAATTGACTCAGGAACGACAGATAACCCGGGAGAAATTAATTTCACATGAATTTTGTCTCTGTATGATAATATATAATTATATATAACCATTCCGAGAAAAAATGCTGTTGCACAAATATCGAAGTAAATGCTTGTATTTCTAGCGGCCAATGTTGTAAGATAAAACTACATTTCTTCCTTTCTTCATTCAACAGCATTTTTTCTGTGTGGACACATATCTACTGAGAATTTACTCGCGCAGCGATTCTGCCGACATGGAGAGAGATTGAGATCATTACACGGATAATCTTCTCCTTCCTTCCCTTTTTATGCTTCGTTCTTTAGAATGAGCTTAGACTCACAAGTGTGATCTTTGTAGTTATACTTGTCGCGCTGCAGAATAGAAAATTGATTCCGCGAGAACGAAGCTGTCAACAAATCGTCTCCTTCCATTCGTAATCTTCTTACTTTTGCACTACAGCTATTACACATTTTGCACACGAGTAAGAACCACATAGACGACGTCGTGGAGCGCGCACGGCGCTATAAAAATATCACTATGTTACATTTACGGCGAGGAAAGTGAGTGAATGAATGAATGAATGAAGGATAATCGGCGCACACAGACACAATACAGACGATTGATATTGACATTTGATTTATTCGGTAAGTATCTCTATGAATCAATTCTCGTGCACGTGTTCGTGCGTGTTTTACTTTCGTTTAAATAAATATATAAATAATCTCTCTCTCTCCCCCTCCCTCCCTCCCTCTTTCTTTCTTCCTTTCTTCCTTTTTCCAATAACCGTATTCGTTTTCAGATGTGGCTGCACGAGTGATCTTGATAGGTAAAACGCACAATGGCAGCATCAGTTCTTAAAATACTTTCGAGTCCCTTCCTACGTCGCGTCACGTCGCGTCGCTTCAACGACGATCACTCGTGCATCATATGTACTACTATTTCGCGCGACACCGTCTCGCGACCTATGATATTCGACCTATGATCGTACGAAGCAGGTATTGCCTCAGCGCAAACGTATGCGTTCACTTTGTACGTTCATTCACAGCCATACGCCTTCCTCGGCCACACGTCTGATCCCTCCTCAGGGCTGGGAAGCTACGCGTCATTTGCAATGCCGTTAACACCGTGGCAACGGTTATCTTTCCTTCTTCTCGTCAGCAACACACGGGTTATCTTCAAATAGACCTTCTTCCCAGCCCTGATCCTTCCTATCGCCGCGTGTCGCGAATCTGTTATTTCTCTTTCGCGGTCACTTTGTATCCTGACGACCAGCGGGAATTCGATCGGGCCGATCGTGAGGATTAGCGCGCGCTTCTTGCGAGAGAACGTTGCGCGCGCAACGTTCGAGGCGCAAAACTGATTACGGCACGATCTAGAAAAGGAACCGGGCCACAAGGATTCCGCCGATGATTCACTTGCGTCTATCTCAATCATACGGCTCCGTGCCGAGCTCGTGCGTGGCGAACTACTGTCCCCCACCTGGCTGGATCATGTCGACGACGGATCAGATCGGTTTCGCTCTCGGTCTACACGGAGTCCGCGTTCATCGGTATAATCGTCGCCGTGGCATTGTTCGGCAGGAGGATACCGTTCTCGCTATCCTTTCCGTTCGCATCGACGCGATCGTCGAAGTCCTGCGAGGCCACCAACAGCTTCTGCCGTCTCGCTTCCTTCTTCTCACGTTCGATCTGGCGCGAAGCAAGCGATAACGTTGAGCAGAAACTCGATTAATATCAGACAAGTTTATATATTCGTACTCTTTTCATTTCTTTGAATGATTTCCACTCGAAAAGTAAAGTGACAGCCGAGCCTAGACAGCACAAGCTTAGGAAAGACGCATAAAAGACGTCTAGATCAAATATCTTTCTGGAGGATTATGCTGTCTGGGGAGTCGCTCGAATTCGAAAGACCTTTCATTCATGTAGAATGAACTCTCCACTTTGAATTGTCGAGTGAATATCTTCATCCTACATTGTAAAGTGAATTTGACTCTACTGTCGTAAAACCGACATTTCAATCGATTGAAAGACATTTAATTCTACAGAAGAAATCCACACGCTACAAGTTCGAATTAAACATTCACTCTTGCGATTCCGAGTAGCATCATTCAACTTTCACTGTCGCTTCGCGAGTGAGCTTTCACTCGTTTTGAACTGGATCTCACTCAAAGGAATTTAGAAGATACCTTTCTATTGTAAGTAATACGAACCTTAAAGAACAATCGAAGATAGTGACACGGAAATACGACGCACTTGCCTTCCTCTTCCTCGGCGTCAATGTAGACGCCGCGAACTAGGATAGTGTTGCTACAATTGAGGAGGACAAGGAAGACGAAACAGCCGATGTGAGTGATCCAGCAGGACAATTCTGGATTGTCTGGTAGCAACCATAGATCCAGCGCGTTCCATATACCGCGCCAGACGTTCACGGTGCCCAGGAAGCTCAGCAGGAGAAAAGCGTCCGCGACCACCAAGCGGACCAGACCCTGAAGACGCGCGCAGAGGTATCGCATCAGCGGCTGCAGGCAAAATGTCACGGCGACTATCGAGTATCCGATGGCCTGAAATTCCGTATAACGCTACGTGTTATTATCCATCGGCTTTTAGAAAGAATCGAGTCCGTATTTTCTCGACTTACATTTTTATTTATACAGAAGAAGAGAATCTTTTTGGAAAAATCATATCCTACTCTCTAAATTTCTTGGAGTAGAATCTCACTCGGGACGAGTGAAAAGTGGCAGGATTTCCACTGTCCGAAGCGATAGTGAAAATAATGCCACTCGAAATCGTCCAGAGTGGACGTTTCACTCAAGCTTAGAGCGAAATTCTGACTCCACATGACATTTGAGTGAATAAATGCAAATAAGGTGTGCTAATACCTTGACACGTACTTGATCCTGGACATTCTTGTTGTGCTTTAGCTTTTAAATATGAAAATTTAAACGTTCTGCATAAAAAAAATATATATACATGTACATTCTATATTATATACAAGATATATTTTATGTCGAAAGCTTAAATATATTCGTATTTAGACCAAAACGAGAAGAATGTCCAGATACGCGCCCAGGAATTGGTATTTTTGTCTCAATGGCCTCACAAGTAACGCGTTACTTCCCAAATCTGTGATTATTCCAGACAGTTTCAGAACAACGATATTTCTCGATACATCCATCGAGAGATGAGATCGATCTGGAGCGCGACGCGGCTTCAAAAATCGCGCAGATCTCGTTCTCGTGCCAACCGCGCCGACGGCGACGCGACAAATGACGAATCAGGGATAACGTAAAGCATTTCATACGCGTACACCGACAATTGTGCCATGTGCCTGGGCAATCATGCAATTGGCGAATATTCAATTATATAATCGAACTACACCGGTATAGTACCATGGCACCAAACGCCTGCTACGTCGTATGCTGTAAAATTTGCATTTTTGTGTACGGAGTCGATAATCGTCGGATGAATAATCGCGTGTACAACGCAAAATTAAGTATACAACGCGAAATTCCTTGCACTGCGCGCAGCAATCGATTATGCAGCAAAATTACGCGGAGAGTACCTTAGAATATGAGATGAAATAGTTTGTACTTCAAACACTGTTCCATTAAATGAATCTATAGAGTGTCATGATGAAAACAAGTAAACAACATATATTTATACATCAAGACGAAAATCACTTTCAAACAAACAATTAATCACCCCAATATTGGCTAAAGATTTTCAAATCTGACGTAGATCTCGTTATAAATCGTTCTTAACACTTCACATTATTAAGTCCATTATTAAGCATTATTAAGTCACTTTTGTTTTCCACCGAAATTCCTACAACTTTCGTCACACGTGGCAAGGCTCCGCATCGAAGAATTGTCTCATATTTGGTGACACGATCACATTAAATGACGGCGGATCACTCCACGTATCGTTGATATCAGATAGTGCGGGCAAAATTTTCCGCTTCTTCGCGGGAAATGCGTTAATTGCATTGACAATAAATCTTAGGATACGACTCGCTGTTAATGAGAGACGCCGATGGATTAATATGCGTGAGTCAACCGAATTGACGCGATCGGTGATTATCATAGCGAGTCGAGTGACTTATTTAATTTGCGATTCAATGAGGTACTTACTAGTGAGCCAACCGCGGAATATTTCGCATTTTCTGGAAACAGGTAAAGGTCAAACAGAATCCAAACGCCTCTCCAGACGAAAACAACCAAGGTGCCCACGACGCCTACGCTAAAGGCACAATCCAATAAGTACAATGACCAGTCCCTCGTATTCTGCAATCACAATGATCGTGTTGGCATTACAAGAGCGGCGTTTGCCACTTGATATCGAGGAGGATTGTTTGAGCGATAATGAAAGATTATCAAATGCTAGTATGCTAGTAGCTACGTTACGAGGCTCTGTTTATCTGGCTGATAAATAATTAATGCACAAACGTGCAGATATGTCAGGAAGATATTTACATTCCTCATTCTTTCAGGCATAGATAAGCGATAATGGAAGGTACCGCGCTGCAAAAGTCATCAGTTAAATGTCTCTTTCGCTTGATATTTCATAATATCCTTGATATTATGAAATGGGTATAAAAATGCTTCATTGTGTTCTTCATACATGATAATAATCATGCATAAAGGGTTGCATTTGCGCGTTATTAGTAGCGAGAGCCACGCGTCTCTCTCCTTCTCTCCCTCCCTCTTTCTCTCTCTCACTCTCACAATTAAGATAATTATACATAATTATAGATAATTAGGAAAACCTAAAAGCCTTAATTATAAGATTTTACGTATCTTTAATACAGTTCTGCTCGGACTACTTACGATACGAGACGCACCACAAGGCAAGAGTGCCATCAAACATTTAATCGTTCGTCACAGCGTCACGTTGATTTTATAACGAGATTATCTCAACGTCACGAAAATAACAGATATAAATAAATTAATCGTGTGCGTGTGATCATCGAAAAGAGAAATCAATTTCCACGTATCGCTTCGCGTAAAACATTTCTCAGTTTTGTGTCTCCCAACAATCAAACGATGTTACTTGACGCGGGAAATATCTCGCCGTGACACAAAACGTCACGACACGCAATGTTATGATAAAAAACAAAATTAATAACATACCAAGACAAAAATTGCTTTGAAATGAACACCATAATAATTCCAATTGTACAGAGAATTTGTATCGACACAATAAAATAAGAGATGTATAAATAAGTTCTGATGAAACTTAATTAAAGTGAGAGAAATAAGACCTCTAGCCATTCGCGATTATCTGTTGCAAAATTAAATTTATATCGTAGGAAGATAACAATGTTTGATGCTTCCTAACATAATAAATAAAATAATCTTCAGTGCAATGATCTTTTATAAAGAAACAATCTTCAACGCTAAAAAAATACTTGAAAATTCATTTGTGGAATGTAAAATTTATTTCTGCGAATAAACTTTATATCTCATAAGTAAATTTTCAAGTATTCTTCTCTCAGTGCACGATTGATACGCGTCTATGTCGCAATTGAATATTATTTTGACTGAGGGAAACGCGCAATTGCAGGAAATAAATCCAACTATCGACAAAGACGATTGTTTTCGCATATTGACACGATAGCGAGAAGGGGAGAAGAAGAAGAGAGGGAGAGAGGGAGAGAGAGAGAGAAAGAGAAAGAGAGAAAGTGTCAAGTAAACCGACAAGATACGCGTAAATTAGTACACATGCATGCTGCGTTAGTGCATGCGTGAACAAGCGCGATAGTGTTTGACGATCGGGGGACTTAGCCGGAAACTGTGCTTATACACACCGATAACGTGTATAACGTGAGCTTGTACGACGCGGTATAAATGCGGCACATGCGATCCGTCGCGATTTACGATTTATGATGCGCTTTACAGCTCGGGATCGCTGGCGATTAATCGAGACAATATTACGCCAAGAGGATGTCATTATAGTTGTTTTGTCGCACGTGGACTTGATTAATGATAATAGTGTTCCAAATATCTCGGAAGGTCGAGAGAGCAATTCGTATTTCAGATATCAAGATCAAAGTTCTATCAATAAAATAGAGATCTGATATCGATCTGTGGCGTTACGTCATAAGGCGTGCGCGAGAGCATGTGAGTGGCGTGTGCGTATCGCACATTATTGCAGAAACTTATCGTTCCAGTATTATTTTATTAATCTGGATCTATTAGGTTCGAAATGACGGTAACTTATTGCATCAAATTGCTTTATCGCGGACTTACTTCGAAACAAGGTGAGCTTATTGGCACGACGAGAAAACCAGCAGTCAACCGGAAAACAAGCGGGTTTTGCAGCAAGGCCTGCGCGAAGATAAGGGTCTTATAAACGTAAGAGTGGGTCTAAGGCAGACGTCAATGTGTAAAGCCTTGGCGAAGGTAAAGCGCGACAATGAGATTGAAAATGATTTAAAAGCCACCAGATGACTCAACGCGTTTTAATAGACTATGACTGTCGTGTTAATATTCATTGACTTAGATTAGGCTTCCAAAGAAGGTTTCATTAACTTCCTGCTGACCGTTTGCATTTCATTTTATTCAATCAATTAATTACATCCTACAAGCAAACGTCTTAATATCATAGCGCCAGTCATGTCACGTCGAAAATTAGATGACGCAAACTTCTAAAAAATATCTTAAACAAGTGCTATTTTATTTAGACGTTCTTCACGCGTTCAGACGACGTTTTTTGGAGTCTTGCGCTGTCCTGGAGCAAATTTACACTAGTCTTTCTGACACTCATTCCATTCGTGGTGATTCACCACTAAAAACCACCACGTGTTCTCGTATTACCCTTATATTACCCCCGCGTTCACATACACTTATTTAGCTAAACTATATCCTGCGTAACGCATCATTCGTTACAATCACAGTAACAATGGACAATCGACAATTTCAGATGCGCGAGACGCTTCGAACGGATCTCTTTTACCGTAAATGGTGAAGAAAAAAAGTACCAATCGAGAGTCTCAAATCGTGAACGAGGATAGTCTACTACGATAGTCTGATTGTGATTCAGACGATAGACTGATTGTGATTCAGAGTTATAATCCATCGTAATTTTAGGTGCGCCATAAGCTTTAGAAAAATTGAAGTTTCCCTTTGCATATCGGATAATAGAGAGCTCCAGATTGTGTGAACGTTGAAAGATTACGATTATTCCTTGCAATTTCCACGAAATGCGGAAGTTCCTTGGGCGGTCAATACTGGACGATGGGGAAAGCAAAAGATGATAATGAGAAAAGTGTCATCTCACGTAACCAGGCGATTGAAAGCCGAATTGTGTTGGATATCGACAGTTTATGAATTATTTCTTGGAGGAGTTAACTTTAAGGAGTTCCTTGAACTGGAAATTCTTACGGTTTTGCTTACGGTCGACAATGGAGAGAAACAGAAGAAGCGAAAGGCAAAGAAATTATTGTCTCACGTAATCAGGTAATCAAGAGGATTGTTTCTCGGAACTTCAAGTGTAAGGATTTTCTTGAACGGTTCGAAATGTTTCCCCTAGGATTAACAATGGAGAGAAACAGAAGAAGAAAATGATGAGGAAAGTATTGTCTTACGTAATCAGGCAATTAAGAGCTCCGAATCATATGGATATAGATAGACTATGAATTTTTCCTTGGAACTTTAAGTGCAAGAAGTGCTTCGGACGGAAAATGCCTTTCTTATGGCCGACGATGGAAAAAAACAGAAGATGATGATGAAGAAAGCATCAACTCACGTAATCAGGCGATCAGAGCAGATTGTTCCTTGGAACTTTGAGTGGAAGAAGTTTCTCAGATTGAAAATGTCTCACTTATGATCGACGATGGAGGAAAACAGAAGATGATGATGAAGAAAGTATCACCTGAGACAATCAGGCAATCGAGCGGATTATTCCTTGGAACTTCAAGTGCAAGAAGTTTCTCGAAATGTCTTCATTTCGATCGACGATGGAGGAAAACGGAAGAAGACGACGATGAAGAAAGTATCAGCTCACGCAATCATCAGGCAGTCAAGAGCTCCGAATCGCGTGCGTATCGGAAAATCGTGAATCGCGATTTTCCCTTCGGCAAGCGGCAGGCCGCTTAAAACTCGGGCCGCGAAACTCACTGAGACTCGCGCGTTATACTTACGTTGACGCGAAACATAGTCTGCACTTCGAAGTAACCCGGGCACGAGTCGAGACAGAGCGAGAACGGCGGCGCGGAGATGTTGCGAATCGCGCGCATGATGCCGAGCGCCAGGAGGCTGACGGCGGTCGTGGCGATGACGGTGCCGACAGTCAGCTCCGTGTAAACGTCCAGGGCCTTCCAGGCGCCGCGCCACGCGTTTACGCAGCAGAAGCCGAACACGCCGGTGTAGAGGCGGGAGCCGAGGTAATAGGACAGCCGGTGCTTGTCCGGGTGCAGCGCGTCGTCCAGGCCGTGTTGCAGCACACTGAAGGTGAAGAGGCCGACGAAGCCGACCGTGATCGACGCGAAGCTGCTGAAGGTCGGCTCGTCCGGGTAGACGTACAGGTCGCTGAGGCCCCAAGTGCCGCGCCAATAGCCGACCACCGCCGGCGCGGCCACCAGCGCCGAGAACACTGTGTCGAGGATCGTGAGGATCGCGTAGTACAGACGGTTCGAGGACTTGGCCGTGGCCAGGCTGCTCATCCCGGCGCTCGTCATCGCGCCGGCACGCAACTCGACCATTTTCATCCAGTCCGGGTCGAGTCTAATCCCGCCGCTCGTCATCGTGCCCGTGCTGCATCGTTAGTTCGGCGCGATCTCTTCAAATTCTCTCTCTCTCTCTCTCTCTCTCTCTTTCTCTCTCCACCACGTGGACGATGGCACGGGGCTGGCAATAACAATGCGCACGTCAACGCGGTGTCGACTCCAGCAGGAGAACTGGCCGCTCAACATTCGCAACACGCGACATTCTCCAACACGATCGAGCCCGTGAACTCGACTTGTTACTTCTCGAGTTCGCCCGAGTTCGTGACGCCGAGGTGCACCCGACCTGACGACCCGCCACGGCTTCGCCGCGACCTTACGGTCATTTGCTTCAGCTTCGCCCTCGACGACGCGGATTCGTCGCGCGAATCAAGGTGTGCAGGGATAAAGCTCTTTGATGAAAATTCGCAAGACACAGGTAATGTCTACGACTAAGCTCAGCGGGCCGACGAACCCGCGTGCTCGTTCGCTCGCTCGCTCGCTCGCTCGCTCACTCTCTCTCTCTCGCTCACTCTCTCTCTCTCTCTCTCTCTCTCTCTCTCTCTCTCTCTCTCTCTCCCCTTTCTGCTCGTGCGAGCGATCGCGAGCGATCACTTGAGCAACGGCTGTGCACCGACTGACTCGTCTTCGATGTAACTGCTATCTTTTATCAGCCGCCAAGCGCTAAAGCGCTAAGCGCGGGACTGACACTGTCGCATTATCGTGAACAGCATCGTCGCGCACGCCGGACCACGAAGGATAGTACTCTCCGGTGCTCTCTCCTACGCCTCCTCCCCGGCGATCCGATCCCCCTCCCACGTGTGGCCGCGTATAATCGCCTCGTTCCATCGTGTACCTACTCTATCACGGATTAGAATGATCGAGCCGTGTTAAGAGCTCGCGGGCTTTTCCCTCGATAACGCCGACTCGAAGACGATGACAGCAACAACAACGACGGCGACGACGGTGGCGAGGCGCGATCTTCGAGGACGAGCGACTTCCGTTCACCAACTTATCGTCGCGCACTCGCCGTGTGCGGGTCAACGGCCTTGCCCAGCGCATTTTCAAGGGTGCCGTGTGTACAACAGTCGAAACACGACGAACAGAGCAAGATCGCAAGTTCGCGCACACCAAAGAGCAGAGTCTCACTCTTGGTGGAAATCTCTTGTATATTCCTCAATATGTATGCCTGAAATAATGTATACGTTTTAAGAGGATTTTTCTGAAGCTAAAAGGAAAGTATCCTAAATACAATATTATTTTTCTTCATTAGGAAGAGGAATAAAATGAAAGTACCGATGCCCAGGCATGCACCTAATCCTCGACATCCTCACTGTTTTTGTTTTTAAATACGAATATTTAAACTTTTAACATATTTTAAACATACATGTTTATGTTAAAAACTTAAATAGGGCAAACCACACAATTATTGGCATTCCTCCTAATTATAGTATTCTAGAAAAACCCGCTTTTTCTCGCGACAAGCGGCATCAGTTCGCAGTTTTAGTTATAAAGATTTTTTTTGGAATCATAACGTGCCTGCAAGAAGCTTAATTGTTGTGCTGGATACATGAAAGATCAGTATCAGAAGTTTTTCCAGTATGTTAACTCTGTTAACAGAATGCTAAATCTAAAAAGGATGCCAATAATTTTGCAGTTTATTCTATTCGTATTTAAAGACAGTAAGAATGTGCGGAATTAGGTACGTATTTAGAGATTGGTTACCTTATTCTTTTAGTGAAAGTTTAATCCTTGGATATAGGATTATAGGAAATGGCATCTTGCAATTGGAGTTCTTCTTTTTGGGTGTAGAATATTTTCCTTTTAATTTCAGGAGAATCCTCCTGAAACCATATATAAGATAATTCCGTTAAAAATGAGATTATATCTTTTTGGATGTAAAGCGTTTGCACTGAAAAAAAGTAACGTTTGATTTCGTGAAAATTATAGTCGTCCTCGACGACGGTCATAATCTTCTGATTGTTTTAACAGAGAAATAGTATTAGCACTGACGTTACAATAGCAATTGCTACAAAAAAAGTTTCCCCACACTTTGAAATCGTAATATTCTACAAAACTCGCATGAAAAAAAAAGATTGATTTCACAAAAATTGTACACTCAAAGAAATACGTATTCGAGTATTACTTGTTTCAAGTATTTCATGTATTTATACATCCGCTAATCTATCATAAGTGTTCATAATGAGCATCAAATTTATTCAAAATACATCTTGGATCTTAGTAAGTTTAGCACTTTAATTAAAAATTTGGAAGAGTAACAAAAAAGAGCAGAATAAAATAGAATAAAATAGAAATAAAATAGATATAAAATAAAACAGAATAAAACAGAGTAAAATAAAATAAAACAGAATAAAATAAAAATAGAATAAAGCAAAATAAAATAGAAATTCCCGGTTTGTTTACTTGCACAAATTCGAGCCAACTTTTCTTTCGATAAAGTTTTACAGTATTCTCGTAAAGAGATTAAATTTTTAACTATAATTATTTCATTATCATCTCAGCAAACATAATAACGTTAAATGACGTTTTAATAACGTATTAACGATGCCTCTAATATTAATAATAGACCGTTTGACATCATCCTGCTACTTGGGATTTCACGCATGCGGAATATTTTCTCCTCAGTACGCCAAAGCAGAGAATCGTCCGATCGACGCGCGTTTCAAAGGACTTCTGCCCGCAGAAGCGGGGGAGATTGTTAATTCTATTTGCAAAGAGATTGTTGATTCTGCTTGCACATGTAAGAATGTACAACGACAAGACGAGCATTCGAAGCTAAGCAACGTTAATGGCGGACATGGCATCGTTAGGTAATCGTTAAGAACGATTCGTTGCCTCGCCCGTATGTCGCAAGGAAGAGAGAATGAGACACTTGTGCGAACGCGTTAGGAAAAAAACCACAATGGCATAACATTTAGCCGCCTTTTTTTCCCTCGAGTCCTATTTGCCGCCCGGGTGTGCTCGTTTAAACGTTAACGCTTTGATCAAAGTTGTCGCTAATTGACTCCTTTTTGTACGCCAATCAAGCTCGAGTTACAACGACTTCTCACCTTCGCCCATTAATCTATCGGTGGGCCTCGTCAAGGGCGCGAAATTTGTCCGCCGCAGAGCAAATAACGTACGGAAGATACCATGCCCTCGCGAGTTATACCGGGAGTGAAGTGGGAATATGAGACACTTTTTCCTTTTGGACAAACAGCTCAATATTAAATACAATACTTGCATCAATAACCATCAGAAGTGTTAAGAAATATATCTCTTACAATGTATTCATAATTATTAGGAAAAAAAAATAAACTATTCAAAAGGGAGACATAACATTTTTTTGTGCAAAAAGTGAGGTCCTGGAAAATAAGGTGGTAATATGAAACGGGTATAAAAATACAAAAAAGTTTACTGGGTAGTCCGATATTCTTTCCGGGTAAAAACCTACATATCATGCGGCCTACACTGAGAGAAAAATTACCTTAAAATAAATATTTCTTTGATGGGTGCCATTAACATATTTATTTAAATATAAATTCTCTTTATTTAAATCAAATATTGTTTACTTAAATCAAGTAAACAATATTTGATTTAAATAAAGAGAATTTAGATTTAAATAAATATGTTAATGGCATCCATCAAAGAAATATTTGATTTTAAGATAATATTTCCCTCAGTATATTTACAGACCACAAAAAAGGTTACTTTTCATTTACTTATCATAATGTTGATAGAAAAGTAAATTAAATAAGAAATGGGAAAAAACGAAAAAAGATTAATAAAAAAAAAAGTTAAGGCTGTTTAGTTGCAAAAACCGAGGATCTTGATATTGCGGTAATGCAACGCAACATGCGCTGTAGAGAGAAAGAGAGAGAAAGAGACACAACCTTTATTTTTAGAATATTTAGAAAAGGAAGAACGATTGTGTGAGGCTTGACATTAATATTTATTGTAAGATGCCACACATATCTCTTATTAAATGAGGCTTTCTTATTTAATCATTATTAAATTAGTTTCTTATTAAATTACTTCCTTAAACAAGAAACGTAAAAATGAACAAGAAGTAACTAATACGGACATATAGAGCCAAATTATAGTTGTTATGTGTAAAATAATTTAATAAACTAAAGATTATAAAGCTATGGAGAGTACCCACAATTAATTGTGGGTTGCTCTGGGTAAGAACATATTTGTAATTTATAAGAATATATATATAAAAGAGAGAAAGAGAGAGAGAGAGAGAGAGAGAGAGAGAGAGAGA